CCAAGGGCCCCTGGGCAGCGGCCCCGCTGGCCCGGTCCGTAATCTGTCCCTGCCCCTATGTCTGTGGAAGGCTGCCTCGTTCTTGGGTTCCACCTATTCTGGCCGCACTGCCTTGCTGCCCGCCCATAGCGGAGTGGACCACTTCCTGTCAAAGTAAGACGCTGGGGGGTACAGTATACCTCAGTGAACACCCCCTCCCGTCCCACTTTTAAGTTCATGCTGCTGTTCAACTGACTGTCCAACACTATCCACAAGAAACACCCCCGCATGTCCAAGAAATCCTCCTCCTAGTATTAACCATTACGACATCCAAAATCTCTACAGCCATACAACCAAATGTTTATATGCCTTCCATCGTGATGGGAGAAGATTCCTGGGGTCTGTAAGTAATTGCAGGATTAGCTGGAGCAGTACACTTCTACAAAACCATTTCAAAATATTACTCAAAGGTCAAGTTACATTTCAAGTGATCGGTTTTATTCTCATCAATATACAGTCGTCCCTCGCCACTTCGCGCTTCGACTTTCGCGGCTTCACTCTATCGCGGTTTTTTGTCTATCGATTAAAAGGTTGATCGAGACAATGAAAATGATACATCGCTACGCATCAGAAGCATCTTTGCTCTTCGTAATTAAATGTACAATAATAACAATATGATATTTATAACGTCTAATATTTCTTATTTTCTATAATTTTTTCTAATATTTTGGCTAATAGTAAAAGTGTAATTGTCATGACCTGCCTGTCCGATCCTCTTGTACATGTGTGCCACGCCCCCTTATTAACCACATATGCAACCCTGATTGTGACCAGCTGGTTTGTCAATTTGATTCAGTTTGAAGTCCACGTCAGTGTCTATAACCCCAGGTCTGTCATTAACGTTTTGATGTTACATGTTCCTGTGTCCTGCATTTGGAGTTATTCCAAATAAACCCTTCAGTCCTGATTCCTCGTCTCCCCGTTCCTGCTTCCGTGTCCAGCAGTCATAAAGTAATGGTGACTAAAGGGTGTTATTTCATGTCTAGAGGGTTCTAATAATGTTAAAAACCGTATTTAGAAGGTCGTAAACAGGTTTCCAATGCTCTAACTACGAAAATATTTGATTTATAAATAAAGAATCCTACTTCGCGGATTTCGCCTATTGCGGGTTATTTTTAGAATGTAACTCCCGCGATTAACGAGGGACCACTGTGTGTGTGTGTGTGTGTGTGTGTGTGTGT